ACTGTGGAATCACATAAAAAATTTGTATATCGACCAATCCCACAAATGTCTACGACCGCGCCTACATATTCTGCACGTTTACAATTCTAAATTTAAACAGCCAATTACCAAGAACCTGATTGGCTGTTCAAAATTAGAATTGTAAACATGCAAAATTATGTAGTCGAATGTAGGCGCGGTCATAGACGTTTGTGGGAGTGGTCGATATACGAATTTTTTATGCGATTCCACAGTTCGGTGACTTTCGTAATACATATTATGTCAAGACTTGATGTAATATTTTGTGCTGATCTGTCATGGCATTTTGTCAAGTTGGATTAATAAATGGACAAAATGTCCAACAATTTGATAAACTTTAACCCATTGATATATTAGTTACATTGCACCATAATGTGCCCTTACCATATTTTTACTCTGTCTAAACAGTCCAATACCATATGATTCTACTCATCAGTGATAAAAGCACTGGTGGTCAATGGTTTAAAAATGCGCGCAATTGGGCATTACATGAATTCCTTAGAAAGATTAATTATTTATAGAAAAATGAAATCCTTAGAAAAAAGACTAAGAGTCTAAGCCACTAGCATAGATAATATTCAAGCCAGTTTAAACTCTTTATAATGTAGTAAACTTAAAAGTATTGCTATATTCTATTACCGGTGTCACAGTGATATGAGTATCCCCGTGTTTTGTGTATCCCCACACTAATATCCCTAGGGATAAAAGTACCCCCGGTGGGATACATCAGTGGATACCTACAACACTAGAAGCGAAATGATGCAATATTCAAAATATGAGCAGGAGGAAAGTCATTTATATGTGCCTTTATTTTCCGGTATTTACGTTTTTACAGTAATGCTGCAGTAAATGTGTATAATGTGATTGTGCTTATGTTACTAAGATAACATGTTCGCGTCGCATAAATTGGTGTAGAACATAGTGTAGAATTAATTTTTACAGCTAGTCATTTAGAAGTTGTGACAATGTTATGCAGAACACGACCGCCATATTGCCGGCGATACACATATCCCTAGTGAGGTGAGCATGGGGATACACATATCCCTAGTGATATTAGTGTGGGGATACACAAAACACAGGGATACTCATATCACTGTGACACCGGTATATAGATAGAGAACAATTACCATACATGAACGTATGAAACAACAATTGGGAGGGCGAGGGGGGGGGGGTGGGGGGAGGCAGGTCTGAGAAACCAGACCTCAAAATTAATATATTTTTTTTAAAGATCATTTGGTGAAGATTTTAATGGTATTAATGATTTCAAGAAAATCACATGCAGTGGCACCTCCATTATTAACTTCTTTTGAAATTAAATGTTTTTATGGTCTGTGAACACAAATATATGAATATTCGCCCCCAAGCTGGCTGCGCCACTGATCACATGTAGAATATTCAAGTATAGTTGCATGCATTCTTGAGCTGTCCAGAATTAGAAAAACATGATATCAGGGTGTTAGCTAGCCCATATACTGTCTGCTTGACGGACTCTTCCCAATTGAAGTAGCTAAGGGGCTTTCCCAACTGGGTCTACTGGAAGATTTTCATTTTTTCTGATGAGAAAGTGCATTGCGTTTGATTTTATATTATTATATCAAAGAACGTTTTATTTACTTTTTCCCATTAACTATTTTCTCAAAATGTATCACGTTCCATTCATATTGGGAGTGTATTCACTAAAATGAAATGTACAAAACAAAGTGTAATCGGTGTGCATCAGTGTTCATTCACCCGAAATGAAATGTACAAAGCCAAGCTGCCGTTGTGTGCATCCAGAGGTTTTGCATCTAAGGAGAAACACGTTGGAAAAAACACTATTTATTCCTACACAGGGACTTTGATCGGTCAAAAAAACTTTCCCAATTTACGTTTAACAGACAAAACTTTCTTTTTCTGGCTAATACCCTGGATATGTTATACAAAAAATTATTTTGAGGCCTTGTGCAAAATTGCTGCCCCCTGTCAGACCAGATGGTGTTCACAATGTGGATATATGTGGTTACAGACTGATAAAACAGAATTGTTGAGCTGTTTTTTATTTCCCTTGTTCCTTTTTGACTTTACCAGAAAGGAAGGCAGAAAAACCTTCAAGTCTCCTCTACCAAATAAGTGTCCATCACTAATAAGCCTGAATTTTACAGGAATATTGTATTATGTACACATTTGTATCAGGTACACCACCCTCAATCGTACTGATTTGATATATTTATTAACCTGAAAGTTCACATCCCCCGCCATATTACGACACCCTCTTTCCAGTAGCCAATGTAACAGTTCAATAGACTTGTTCCAGGTCTGCCTCTTAATGATATACAGTAAATGTGATACACCCTAGAATTGTGCAAAAAATATGGCCGGCTGGAGGGCGCAATTTTCTCGCCCGATTTTAGGGTGTATCACATTTATACCATTTAAGGGCCTGTTTATATGAGCCCGATAAACCGAGCTGACATGGAAGTGGCAAGATCTCACCTTGTATATTGTTTTGATATGTTTTTGAGATTTGATTCACATGAGAACCTGCGCACGGGCTGGCCCGGTTTGCCGGGCTCCCGTTTGAGCGAGACGAGATTTGCCTTCCCGGGCTAGGAAATGCATGAATGAAATGAAATGTCACAACGCATACTTTATACTATCTAGAAAGCATCTAAGAATTTAAAAAAGTTAGAAATCAACAATATTAAAACTTCTGAAGCACTTTCCATTAATAAAAATAGCTTTTTTCAAAATTAAAACAAATCTCGCGTACCCGCCTAGAGTCGGGCGGGAATTCCCTATAGGACTTACCGGGCTAGCCCAAACAAATAACAACTTGAAACGAATAACAACTTGAACAACTTACAACTTGAAACAAATAACAACGTTAAACAAATAACAAGTTGGCCATGCAAAGCGATCTACCCGGCTCAAATGTAAATGTTATGAACATGTAGGCCCTAAGAGGCAGACTTGGAGCAAGAGCAAGTCTCTGCAGCCCCACTATTTAAGACTTTTATTTTCAAATATGTCCACAAATATTTGAAATAATCATGTTACTATACTGTATCTATTGTATCTATTGTAGAAATGATGTTTGGGGAGATGCGTGTGTGAAACTGGAAAACATGGATGACAATGATTTGAGTAAACCATTCAAAGTACAGTTCGTCGGTGAGCCAGCAGTAGACCATGGTGGACCATCAAGAGAGTTCTTTTCACTTATTAACCAACACATGCAGAGGTCAATGCTATATGGCTCAACCTTTCGTCACAATGTTATATCGCTTCAAAAAGAAGAGTTTATGAAATGTGGTCAGCTTGCAGCAAAAGGTTTGCTTCAAGGATCTGCTGGTCCAAAATGTTTTGGAAAGACTGTCACTGATTATATCCTCTATGGCAATGTCCAATGTTTGGATCCAACGTTGGATGAAGTACCTCCTGGTGAAATGAAGGATTCTATGGAAAGGCTAGATGGAATTCAAGACGCCGAGGAATTTAAATCTGAGGCGTCGTTCAACAGCGATTTCCGATTTAGCCATGGTTATACAAAGCCGTTCGTGACCATAGAAGACAAAGATGAATTTATAAAGGCTATTGCATTGCATGCAATTATTTATACTTCTCTACCGGAACTGAATCAGTTTATTGATGGACTGAAAACGTGTGGTATCCTTGATTTAGTAAGAAGCAACCCAGAGCAGTTCAGAGCAGTCTTCCAGTACGGCAAATCGATTTTAACAGCTGGTTTGCTTGACGACATTTTCCATCCATTGCTCAGCCCAGAGGGAAGCAACAAACGAGCTAAAGAAGAACGCATTGTGTTCAACTTCAACCAGATGCTAGAAAATGTTGAAAAGGGAAAGGTTGTAGAGGAATTGAGTGAAACTGAAGTAACTATTAACTTGTCACATATTTTAATGTTTGCAACCGGTGCTTCTGAAATACCAGCGATTGGGCTGATACCACGTCCATCAATTCGGTTTGACCACAATACACGTGAGGAACGAAAGCTGTCTGTTAGTACCTGTGCTAATATACTAACTTTGCCAGTTTCTGAGAAAATGGCATCCCTGGAAAGCTTTCAAAAGGAGTTCATGTTTTGCATGCTTAACTCTCCTGGGTTTGGCAATGTGTGAATTTTCACCGCGGTCACTGTTATCAAATTAACTGTCAACGTGAACTGTTTTAGGAACGGTTGAACCGAGCACAAACTGTAAATTGATCTTCTTTCATATTCGTTTTATACTTTTCTAAGACTGTTTTGTTCAGTATGTGTCTTAAGGCTATTTTCATCACTTTTACGACGATGATAGAAACATAAACATTCGATTAACTTTCATTAATAAACGTATTAATGCAATGATGTGTAATGCAAGTAAAATTGCATAACACGTCTTTGACGGTTGCAGTAGGTAAGACATTCACATTTTTAAGTGACGTAATATATGAACAACTCGAGCGAGTGTTTCACCGGGATATCCAAACACGAGAAAACAATGTTCTCGTTTGCTGATTTGAATAGAATTCTTAACCAAGCATAACGTAATTAGGAATTCTATTCAAGTAATTTTGCATGCGTAATTAAGATGTTTGATGAAAACACTAGTGACTTTCATCAAGTATCCAAATGGCATCTTGTGATCAAATAGGTGATTATCATTGGCTGCATTACTCATGATTCTTGAAACAAACAAGGTAAAATACAACTACAAAACGCTTTTTTTGTTATACTGTATTCCAGCGAAATTATCAAGGTCTCACCCTGGGATTCACCAAGGATTTTAGCTTCGCCTAGTAATTCTTATATACCTTGACTAGTTGGCTCTTTCGGATATAAAACCTTTTCCAATAGCATACATGTAAAAGCATTTGGACATTTCTTTGTGGTGTATGACTACATACCAGAGCATTGTGGTAGCAGCAGTAACGTACCATAAGGAATGTCATTGTGCATACGATCTATTGTTTATTGACGTGCAATATTCATTAAACTCTATTGTTTATTGACGTGCAATATCCATTAAACGGTGAAAGTATTGTTTTGCCTCATCTGCAGTCCATTGAGATCTATCTGGCAGGCTCAATTGCTGACAAATTGCTTCAAAATATATATCATAGTCGTCTTGTGATTGGTAGCCAACGTGTGCTTGCATGGCATTAATATCCTCATTGTCAGTAGGAAACTTGCAATTGCGTGCTCCGATAGATTCTGGTAAAAAGTACATTTGGTCTGGAATACCAGCTTGCGTGTTGTAACGGGATCTTCTTATGTAATGGGTATTCCAGCTTGTGCGTACCTGATCTAGACCTTGTTGTAATAGTTTGTTGAAGCAGAACCACAAACATTTTTTTTGTAAATCATCACTTGTATCCAACTCCGCTCTTTCTACCATTTGTGAAAAAAAATTCATCCACCATGTTGTCCAAGATTTACGTAAATGGCTCCACCATGCTTCTATTCTCTGATTAGAAGTGGACGGCCCATATGCATGGGCTTTTAAACTTGCATGATCATCACCATTAGATCTACGTAAGAAGCACTGCATTGCTGCCATTAACGTGTTTTCAGTACCTCTGTCGGTTCGTACCATTGTTGGATAACCCTGGTTCTGTTGGATGCAACGGAGGAAGTATTTAGAAATTATTTTTGGATCATTGTTGCTCTTGCAAACTACCAGCCATAGAACGCGACGACTAAAACCGTCTATACACCCATGTATTGGGAATCCATGCGGTTTTAGCTTGTCGTAACCATCTGCGTGCCAGCAGAAGTTTGGACCAGGGTTGTTATACTCTCTTCGCTTAAGAGATCTACGTTCATTAGATCCTTCGGGATCTATTTCACGAAGCAGTCTTTGTACCACTCTCCGCGGCACTTTAACGTGATATTTCCTTCTAATAAGCCGCCACATTGCACGATATCCTAATAGGCATCCGTCGCCATTTAGTTCTTGTCTGATCAAGTGAGCAACCCTTTCTTCGTCTATTTCCTCAGGTGCATGTCTTCTGCTCAACCCAAATTGCTTTAAACGATAACAGAGAGTTCTGGAAGACATTGTTATACCGTGATACCTTGATAAGAACTGGAGGATTACATTGTGTTCAAAACCCGAATGAAAATAGTGTCTTATAGCTTGTTCTTCGTTCAAATTAGCGGGAATGAAAGGTGCTATCCCAATCAGGTCGACTTCTGCCATTAATACTTAAATTATAATCACAAACACCAACATTACTTGATAAAATTGGGAGCCCAGGAAAAACAATCAGGAGGATATTATTTAATTTACTTGTATGTGCATTCCATTTAATAGATGTATTTTGTGTTATTGCGAATCTTTTGGGGTGTTTCGAAATTTTTTGGAGTGTTTCGAATCTTTTAGAGTGTTTCGAATCTTTTGGGGTGTTTCGAATCTTTTGGAGTGTTTCGAATATTTTGGGGTGTTTCGCATCTTTTGGGGTGTTTCGCATCTTTTGGGGTGTTTCGAATCTTTTGGAGTGTTTTGAATATTTTGGGGTGTTTCGCATCTTTTGGGGTGTTTCGAATCTTTTGGAGTATTTTGAATATTTTGGGGTGTTTCGAATCTTTTGGGGTGTTTTGAATATTTTGGGGTGTTTCGAATCTTTTGTGGGTGTTTCGAATCTTTTGGGGTGTTTTGAATCTTTTGGGGGTGTTTCGAATCTTTTGGGGGGAGTTTCAGATTAACCGTTGCAATTTGATTTGCATATTGGGGTGTTTTGTGATCGCTGGGGTGCAATAGTTTCTTGGGGGGTGTTTTGCACATATGGGCCACCGTACAAACCCGCACCCTCGCTCCGCGTTGTAAAACAAGTAATGTTCGAGGGAAATTTTAAGATTTTTGCTCAAAAACAACAGAAAACTTGAAATATCTTTATATTAATATAATAATATATCTATGCAAAAACCAGGGGGGTTAAGGACATCTTCGAAAGCTTAGGATCGCGGTTGGTCAGTGGCAATTACCATGAAAATAAAGTAAGTGTTGTCATGGAAATGGCATAATAGCCGCCCCATGTTTTCGGCTTCACTTGATGATGCCGAGCAGGTCCTCCAGTAATATAGTATAGCTCAGTGCTTGGTATCGATACCACCCGATACCAGGCCCAAACAGGAAGTAGTTGATACTGCACGGTATCGAAAAAGTGTTTCGATTACTTTTAAAATTAGACATTCATCATAATCCTGCAGTTGTGTCATCATTTTCATGGTTATTTCTAATAACATTTATGTACTTTTTGGTATTTTGCTGCATTTATCAATTTAATCAAACTTCCTTTATACTTTATTTGACGTTCTATCCTCGTCGACAGAATAAATTATGAAAAAAGGCGGGAAATATAAAGTAATTTTTGATTTTTTTATGGATTAAAATGGTGGATCAAATCGTTACTGTTAAAAACATGTAACTTTTTGAAAATTGGAGGAAGTAATCGTTTGGGTAATCGATACCTCGATACTTTAACCAAAAAGTAATCGGTATCGTATCGAAACCGATACTAGTGGTATCGCCCATCACTAATTTGAAATATGTCTTTGTGACTTTGTGCACCCGATTAGCGCGTTTGACGCCGGCTGACAGTCGGAAATTTTGTCTCCGATTGCTCGGCTGCCAGCCGGGCTGTAGCCTGCGTGCAGGCCCAAGGGAACATATACGGCGCCTGACCGCGTTGCATGCCGGTTAGTCCTCACTCCTCCTCTGCATAACGATATAACCAGATTTTACTAGTGATGGGCGATACCAGCTTTTTGGGTTCGATACGATACCAGTCCGATACCATGAATTTTGGTCGATACCGATACCAAAATCGATACCGATACTCAATTTTTTCCATTTATTTAAATAACTTTTAAAACAAGAACATTAATGTTAGGGACCGGTCATTATTTATGGAAGGGGGGGAGGGGAATTTTTTCTTTCCTAAATTTTTAAAATTGAAAGCCCCCCCTTAAAAGAGCAGAAATTTAATGATGACCCCCACTACATATTAGAATATTTTTCTTTGACCCCCCCCAATTTTCATTTTTACTCGACAAATGGGGATACCCAGGCGTTATAATGTTAATTATTAATTAAATAAGAATATGGAGCTGACAAGATATTAACGTCGACCAAAAATATATATTAGCAGAAAATTATAAATAAAAGAGGGGTATTTTCATATATAACTCTAAAATCAGGTTTCCATTTGATCTGGGCGATTGTAACCATGTTTAACAGCAGAGAATTAATATTAGTGTTTGGAGGCAGGTGCCGTTTGTGGTCCAAGGCTGTAACTAGATTTGATGGCACAAAGTATTGCCATAGCAGCTGCATAGCAATGAGAGTAACAATCAGTAATATTAGCAGCAAAAGGAGATAGCCATGACAATTCTGGACATTCTGCCAAGGCATACCTCTGGCACCAGTCACACTGACAAGTCAGTGGAAACAAAATATAATGTATAGTGGTCTATACATCTTATTTTATGTGAGATTAAAAATTATATAAGATAAAATGACCTACTACCAGATAAAATCCTCTAGAATAAACATGGGTGGGTGGGGTGGGTAGGGGAAAGGAATTTAAGCGCTAAACTTGCTGCAGCTTAAGGCAAAGCATACAATGGCAGTATGAATACCCAGACCGAAGCACTGATCACAAGGCGCGAAACAACCCCCTTTAATCGATATGACGTCACAGACTCCCATCAGTGGATGTGGCCTGCATAATACATTCGCCGTTAACCTTGCTTAAATGTATTTAACCACATCAAGATAGCTGATGTATTATAATACATTGTCAATTTATCTCTGCAATCAGTAAAGACTGATTTGCATACACCACACAGAAGACAAGATAAATCCAGACTAATTCACACCAGTGACCAGGGACGCCGGAACTGGGGGGGCAGGGGGTGGCGGCTGCCCCCCTTGCCTTTTGCAAGGGGGGGCAGAAGTGCCCTTTTAGTTGTAAAATACTACGTGATAAATTACATTTACAACGATGCTTTTTGTACGAAAATTATGAGATTTAGACAATTTATAGTTAATATTTCACTTTTGGTATGTCCGGAAAAAATTTTTGACCCCTAAAATGGTACACTGACCAAAATTTTTTTGGCGACGGGGGGGGCATTGAAAATTTTCGAGTTAAAAAAAATTTTCCGGAAGATTTTTAAGTTTTGCTTTGTAGAAGTGCCCTTGGTGTGGGTCCGCCCCCCTTTGCTTTATGATCGTTCCGGCGTCCCTGCCAGTGACCATGATCTAGTCGCAATTACAACCAAATGGATACCATGCTTATTAAGCAAATTGCTTCAAATTTAATTGCACCCCCCCCTCCTCATTTTCTTGGAAAATTTAATAGCCCCCCCTTTTAGTCATTTATTTATACATATGGCC